AAAGAAGATATACATTTAAGAGGTAAGTGATAAAGAGAAGGATCGAAGGCATCCAGAAGAGAATTTGAGAATGCATTTCCAAGCTCATGCTGTCAACATTTAGTTTTGCAACACCCCTGGAAGTGGTTAATAAAGAACCGTTGCAGCTGCCATTTATTGAGTCTACTCTGCTCACTGTGCCAGTTGCTTCAGACGTCAGACGCTGGTCTTAATGCTTACAATGATCGTTCAAAATAGGTGGTATTTTCCATTTTACCAAGTTAAAAAAAAAAAAAAGATTCGGGGGTTATGTAATTTTCTTGGGGTCACAGAGCTAGTAATGGCAAAGGGAACTGTAAAAACCTGAGCCTGGATATCTTGAAAGCAAACATCGAAGAGAGAAAAGATGAAAAGAGGATGATGTGCCAGGGGCGCCCACCCCAAAGGCAGAGCGCTTGAGCACAGCGTGGAAACCGTGGGTGATGTCCCGCTCGCCCTTAGTCCCTCCCTGTTCTGCAGCGCAGGAGACTGGAGCTTAGTTGAGCAGTTAATCTTGCCAGTTTAAAATTAAAAAAAATTATGCATCGTTGTTTGTATGGATGCAGTGAAAAGTCTCCCAGTTACTTCTCGGAGGCAGCCAACGAAACCACTTCCTTATGTATTCTTTCAGAGCTGCTCGACGCCCATGTGTGTAAATTCGAGTGACATTTTGTAATTTTCCTCGCAGTAGTATCTGGCTAGTTCCCCACAGAAGGTTTTAGAGAACCTTCTTGGATGCGCTGCCTCTGGGGCTTGGACCCTGTTCTTGCCAAGGCTCAGGGGTCGCTTGTGCACCCCGTAAGTTCTTTCCCTTTAGTAATCAGGGCTGGTTTCACCACCCGTCCCTTTCCCCGCTCGACCGAGTGTGAGCTCGCGTGTGCCCTCTTACACGGCTGTGGCCCTAACATCTTGAACTCTGATCCCCTTGGCTCAGGTTTCCAGTTGCCTACATGCGTAGCAGAGCAGCCTCTGCTGCTCGCAGCATACCAAGCCGTAGGAGTGTCGTGAGAAGAGAAAACTGAACTGGGAGAGGAACCATGCTTTTCAATATGTAAGCTGTTCACAGGAAGCTTATCGTTCTGCCCTACCAGAGAAGTGAGAGAGTCCGAAAATGAATCATGGGACTGCCCTTCGAAGGCACTGAACAGCTATGCAGTCCCATCTGGTTCTGTCTCTGCTGGTGGAAGGTGCTGCTTTATTTCTGTCTTCACCAGCAAGGATGAAAAAGGGATCGTGCCAACTACCTTGATTTCCCCTCGATCTACCGCAGTGACCGTGCTTTATCTCAGGGTACCTAGTCTTAAGAAGACTTACGCTTACCGTCCAGTGCCTTCGTCAGTTCAGTACCGACAGAAGCTTCTTCCTAAATCGTGCTCTTGTTGGCCTGACTCAGCCGTATTTGGCACTCTCTGAAAAAATATTTAAAGAAACTCAGGTTATTTTAGTTTTGCAGCAGTGAAAAAGTAAAATGTTGTGGTATTTTTCTTGGTAACCTGTTTTCAGCAATGTTTACCTTTTTAGGTTACTGGCTTGTCACTTTAGAAATTATTTTGTGACTTGATTATAGAAAGATTATAGAAATGACTTTAAAGACAGAGCTGTTTTGTATCTTTCCATTGCCAATTGCCTTCTGTAATGTTGGATGATTTAATAATGTCACTAAAATTTTAGTCCTTCGCATCTGGAGGTGCCATTGCTGCTGGTAATCTTCCACGTGACAGCTCACAAGGGGCGCCCATACCCGGCCATCCCTTTTATGAATTATGTGTAAAATTGCCTTTTGTGAAATGCCTGTAATGCCGGGCTGCTCTAAGGAGCTGTTTCTGTTGGTCGTTGAACCACTGCTCCTGCTTTGACAGGGGACGCGTAGCACCGAGAGCTGCCGGCAGCGTGACCGTAACATGTTACCGTCATGTCGTTACTGTTGCAGGCCTCACTCATATAGCTACACTGTAGAAAGCCCGGCTTTCCTACTCTGCTCCGCTGTTCAAGTTTGCCGTGCAGATGCCACGTTTAAATGTCGGCGGGCTTATCGTGTGTACAGCGCTTTGTTAGGAATTGGGGAGGTGGGTTGGGAACAAGTCGCGGATTAGAATATGAGATAGGACCTGACCCAGAAAAGATAAAGGTGGAAGCGCCTTGCACGATTATTGTTGGAGAGTATTAATCAGGAGATTTTCTCGAGTGGGTGCTTAGAACCTGAGCATTCTGGAGGAAGGTAAATAGCAAGCAGACTTCCTTGGCTGAAGTGCTTGAGTCAAGTAGTGACAAGAAGTGAGTGCAGTAGAGCGGAGTCAATGGGAAGATTTAGAAAGAATGGAGCGGCTGAGGAGTCTGAATTGAATTTGAGAGGCAGTTGAAAACTAGGTTTTCATCAACCCGGTTTGACGTCACGTGTGTGTGCGCATGTGTGTGGCGGGGGCGGGGGCGGGGGCTCTCGGAGGAAGTGCAGGAAATAGATGCTATCTTAGGAGGGCGCTGATACAGAAATTCTTACTCATTTCTGTCTCCTTACTTGTGTTCATACTCTTTTCCCTGGTCTACAATGCTGTCCTCCTCTGTCTACTAAAGTCCCACTCGTGCTCGCTGTGGCAGCACATACACTGACATCGTAACGGGACAGAGAAGATTAGCATGGCCCCCGCCCAAGGATGACCCGCAAATTCGTGAAGCGGTCAGAGAACAAACTGACAGTCGCCACATGGGAGCGGGGTGCGGGGCCTGGGTGAAAAAGGGGAAGGGATGAAGAAGTACAAAATGGCAGTTACAAAACGGTCCCGGGGAGGTGGAGTACAGCATGTGGAAGATAGTCAGGAACATTGTAATAACTGTGTCGTGGCGGGCGGTTACTAGACTGATGGGGGGATCACTTCGTAAATTATATAAATGTCTACCCACCATGCTGTACACCTGAAACTGGTATAAAGTAATACCAAACATCAGCTGTAATTGAGGAAGAAAGTCCCACTCATCCTTTACGGCCCAGCTTAAATTTCTTTTTGAGTTCATGAACCTCTCTCAAACGCTTTACCACCGTGTGGCATTTAATGTGTATGTACCTTGTCTTTCCACATAGACTGTGATCCCCTCTCGGTCGTGGGCTCTATGAATTTCCTTCCTCTATAGTCCCAGGCATCTTCCTGAGTCGAATGAAGATTTCCGTAAAAGGCGTTACCCTGAGAATGGATAGAATGGGCTGTGTGTGAGGAGTGTGACTCTCTTAGCAGACGTGGTTTTGTTTTGACAAATAAAGCAGAGCTAACGTCTTAGGTTTTGAACTTTGGGGAGAATAGAGGTATCCTTGAATTTTCTAGAAGTTAGCTGTTCATGCATAAAGGTTTGGATCCCCAGGCGGGAGAATTGGATTTCACTGTTATATTTAAAATAAGATATGTTTTACCTTTTTCTAAAACTGCCTGTTGGATATCTTATAGTGATCTTAAAGATATATCTATTTTTAATTGCTGTCATTGTGTTAACTTGATTTACTATGCTGTAATGGATCTAGATGCTATAAGTAAATATACATAACCTGTCAGGATTTGGATGGCATTTATCTAAGAGTTTATAGAAACTAGAGGGTAAAATTATGCAATAGTTGGCTACGACGTATAGCCTATTAGAGTCATCGTTGGAGAATTATTGCAAGCCTTCTGATTATCATGGCTCAGAAAAGACATAAGAATTGGTAAAAGTCCAAAGCTCCGTATAACCACAATGATCACGTGTAGTAAGTAGAAGGAGCACATATGAACAGATTGGTTTGTTGAGTCATGGTCTGCTAAAATGGCAAGGGTAACCCTTAAAGTTTGGGGGGAAAAACATAAAGTAGATAGCAAGATTATAGAATTCATTACTTCTGAGAGAATAAATAGGGTTAAAAAGGGCTTAGACTCATTAGAGGAGGATAAGTCTGTGATAAGATCAGTGGTATCTATAATGTTTTGGGAGGTGGTACTAGCCTTTTGTGCTTGAGGTCACTGGAGACAACCACTCTTTCCCAAAACACCAGTCATTGCTTGATGGACAGCCAGATCGGGCCGATCATGGGACTGACCCAGTATGGCCGACCATGGGGTGTTCTGTGGCAACCGGTTCTTTGCCGGCTGACTTTTGGATCACCTGATGGATGATAACATACAATCCCAAAAGCCATTTATGAGTAAAATTAATCACCTGATTCTGGAAACCATAGTACACTTGCATGTAGAACAATATATATGATGATACTTGGGCACAGTTGACAAAATTTCCCTTTCCGGGGCTTAACTTAAGGCTCTTCCACCCATGTAACAGTTTGGAATAAGCCTCCTCCCTATTGCCATTGTCTCTGCTTGTTGACTGATTTGACCGACAAAGGCAAACAAGGACACATAAAAATTTAAGCTCACTGTCCCGATGACATGTCTCTCATACTGATGAACGGACTGGCGAGTCAGATGACTAGCAACACAATCGTGCTGCTAATAAAAAGCAGAGTCAACTGCTTTTCATTATTCACCCACTCAACTCTAATGGCACTTAATACTAATGGGTAATCTAGTGGCAGGTGCCAGGACTGAAGCTTTGCTTGGATGGTAATCCTAACAGTGAAACGGAGTCAGGGTTTCTAAATATGCTCGACGGTCCAAGGGTAGGTTTGCTGATAGCTAATCGTGGCTAAATCCTTTTTTCCACTATGGAAAATTTTTGGCCCTTGATATGGGAGTGATTCATCAGAACTTTGAACAAAATAGTTGAACAAATATTTGATCCCTTTTTTTTTTTTTTTAAACCACGGTTGGCATTCTGGGAGAGGAGAGGCTGCAGTAAGGCCCGTGGCCTTTTGTCTGAAACCGTTGGGATCAAATACTTTTTAAAATTCAGAATTTGTAGGGTTTTAGAAAGATGGTAATACTCTCCTTAAAACTCCCAGGTGGGCCTGGAGCAGCACCTTCCCGTAGAAAACATGTATTTCTGCAGCGAAAGGTATGCGTAGTCACACTTAAGTGGGATCAATAAATTCTAGAAATAACTTCGTGCCAGTTCAGGTCAGGCTTAATCATCAAATGAGTTTTTGGAACTTTTTGGAATTTGGAATGGAGGAGGAGGGATTGCGCTTCTGCAGTTACATTTGTCATGCGGTGTCTTCGGTTGACAGTAAAATGACAGGGAGCCACATGCATAAATAACTATCAGGATATTTGGAGTCGAGAAAGAGTATAATTAATGCCAGTGTCTCTGGATTTCCAGGATTTGTACTGTGTTCGCAGTGACCTGGGGAACCTGCTCAAAGCCCTGGGTCGCTTGGAAGAAGCCAAGGTAGGTGTTTGCTAGAACCCATTTAAACGTCAGTGTTACGAAAACGTGTACTTTTTGCCAAGTCTTCAACTCTTCATTGAGCTATCTTCACAAAACAGTCCTATGAAACTGAGGAAAGCTGACGGCACGAATCGCCTCAGACTAGAGCAGGGCCAGGCTTTGGCAGATCTGTTCTAAATCTGGGGGTAAAGCAAGAACCTGAACGTTTTGGAGCCTTTCTGCTGAGCTAGATCATCTTTGTAACAAAGGGCTCCGACATGATCTTATGTGGGAATAAATAACATTCCTTCAAATCTGAGGCTTGCCTGCTGGTGACAAGCAGAGCGCCTGTGATTTGGCTCAAGACTCCTGTATGATGCAGGTGCCATTGAAAATGCTGCTCTTCTAAGTCCTTTGTGGCTTGTAAGTGGAGAAGAATTTCATCCAAATGTTACCCCGTAATACTGGCATTTAAACTCTTGTTTAACCTTCCTCCCTTCATCTTCCTCACCCCTTTTACAGTGGAAGAAAGGCTGTTAAAATGATCGCAAATTCATAATTGGAACATCCTGCCCCTTCTTGTCCCCGCTCCCTCCCCAAGTTCCTTTTTCCTCTTTTTCCAGTCCTAGCTGTCTGCCTTCTTTTCTTCTTCACTTCCTTCTTTTACTCCTCCCCACCCCACCTCCTTTAAAAAAAAAAAAAGGACAAAGCTGGTTTGTTTGGGAAATGGACTGATCGAAAGAAAACTTGCCAAAGTGGAAAGGTGGCTTTTAGCATTCTGTGTTTCCAAATAATGAATTTGAACGCCAGGTTGGGTTATTAAAGCTTTCGGTATAATTTTAAATTAAATTTATAAATGAAATTGTCTTGTTACAAGCCACCTTACGCAACCGCGCTGCAGGGGTGAGGAGTGGGGAGAAACCAGAATGCTTCTGAAACTCCCACCTGTTGCTCTGAGCCCCACGCGCATGCTCATGCGTGGAGTGTATGCGCAGCGTAGCTGTCTGTTTGCTTCGGCCAGGGAGGGAGAAGGCTTTTCAGCACCGTCTCGTGTTAAAAGGCACTAGTTTTAAGTGCATAGCTCATAAATTCTGCTGACACTTTGGATTAACCTTACGTAGGTTTCCAGCTAATGAATTGTGATTGATTTCCATCTTCGCCGACAACGCCAATTGGTAATTTATCGAACAAATATTTGATAAGCTCCTATTAATTGTCACCCACAAGCGGACAGCTAACATGAATTGCACTTCACCGCAGCTTTAGAGATCGGTTTAGGCTGAGACCTTGCGCCTGCCTTAGGTTGCTGACCTCTTTATTTCAGAGCTCTGGAGACACCTAGTTTGAAAAATGTGATTCTGTTTTTGTGAGAACCTAGTGAACAAGAAAATACTCTTGAGTGAAATGCAATGTATTTCTTTTGTAATCAGTGCATTTGAAAATTCAAGCCAGCGTGTTCCTAGTAGACGGAAGCAAAATTAAGTTGTCTTTGTGGAAAACGCAGAGCCTTTCTTCCAGCACCCCCTGCTGTATGCAATAGCCCTGATTAACCCTCTCCCTTCTGCATGTTCCCATGTTACAGACTTGAGACTGTCCTCATTCCCATATGTAATAGACATCCAAAGAATTTCAATTGCTTTGTTGAACTTTTACTAATGATCTTGTTTTTATTTTCTCTCTTGTTTTTGGTTTTTCACCATTGATATTGTATTTAGAAGGTTTCAGGTGGGTGAAACCTCCTATTCCATGCGTAAGGTGCCTCGCTGAAGGGAGCTCGAGGCCTGGATCTAGGGCAGACACACAGCTCCTCCTCTTCCAGCAAGGAACGCGCCGCAAAGTCACATGATGACAAATATGGTAACGGGTTTGTAACTGCCACAGCAAAACCATTTGCCTCCATGCCTGAATCTTCTGTCTTGTGGCTTCAGAAACAGCTTAAAATAATTTTATTTACGAGCAAGTTAAGTAAGAGAATGTTTTATACTATAGCCACAATTCTGTCAAAGATAAGTAAAAGTTAATTGATATTAAAATAATTAGAGATAATTTACTAGTAAAGCTTCTAACTCTTCTCGTTGTTCATTTTTTTCCTTTTTCTTCTTTGTTTGGATTGCAGCGTTCTGCTCTTCTGATGACGCGCGGTGACCCTGCAGTAGCGCAAAGGCTGCGCAGCGTTAACGCGCCGCGCGTGCGAATGACCCCTGTGAACGGTCGACTAGATGAGTAATCTGACTGACTGGCTCCCTCAGTCCTGTTCTGTAGCCTTTTTGGATAAAATTGGGTGTTGGCGAGCCTCGAGGCCAGCGAATCGCATTGAACACGCGCTCTCTGTGGGCCGGTCTAGTGGATTAGTGGATCTGGTTGGCCGTTTGCTGCGTGGGGCGCGCCCTCCGCAGCGCAGCAGTT